CATTCTCTCTCTTGCAAATAAATAAAATCTTAAAAAATAATAATAATAATTAAAAATAATTGCATCAGCTATCAGGCACTGAGCACCTACTCTAAGAAATACTACACAAGAGCACAGAATATGGATCTATACTGTCCAAGTTCAAATTCCAGAACTACACTTACTAGCTATGTGATCTTGGCCAAATTATCTAAACTTCTCTCTGCCTCTGTAACTTCATTTGGAGAAGGGGTAAAATAACAGTATTTATAAGATTCTTATGAGGATTATTTCAGTTAATATATGCATATTTTAATGCTTACTATAATGCCTTAGATCCATAATGAGTGCTCTACAAAGTTAGCTATTTTTATTTAGCGGCTGGTCTAAAGACTTTACATACAGTAACTCTACGTAATCCTTACCACTACAATTTAAAGCAGAAATTCTTTGTATCCCCTCTATCAGTGAGAGAAGTGAAGCTTAGCGCAGCATGCTGATTTGATGATTTGCTGTTGAGACCAAAGCTAGTATCAGAGTCTTTGAGCCGAGGAAGGCTGATACAAGCCTTGGTCTTCTGTCAGTGTCAACTTTAAGCTAAGGACTTTCTACATAATGAGCAACCCAAAGCTGAGTACTGTGCCCAAGACTTAACATTTGTTTGGTGGAGAGGAGAAGAAACACTGAGTGCATAATCCATGCCGGCTATCAATCACATCAAGGACTTCATCATGTTTCTCATTTAATCGTCATAAAATCTCATTTTAAAAGTTAGGAAAACAAGGCTCAGAAAGGGTAAGCAACTTGACCAAAACCACACAGCAAAGCCAGTATTCACATCAGGTCTGGCTCTTTCATAAAGTCCGTCCTTGATTTTCTTCATACTCTTGATTTGTCCTTTCTGTAGATTTATTAACCATCTTACCTTCATTCCCATATTCAATAAACTTACCCAAGTCAAAGAAAATTCCAAACGGTTTACCTTTTGATAAAACAAGTCAACAAACTGGGATAAAGAAAAGAGGGCAGCTGAAGCCCTAAGGGATCAGACTAAGGTGCATGGCCCCATACCAGTTTTCAGTTCACAACCGATTACCAAGTGCACAGAAGACATTCAAAAATACTTACTGAATGGATGAATGGGCTGTCTTCTTACTTGTAATCACTTTAAAAAGGGACAGTTACTATAATACAGTATTGGCTCCAGTCTCCTTTCCAGCTCTAGCCTCTGTCAGGTACATTGGACATCTGTCCACCCTGGGAACCATCACTAAGATTTATTTCTATGCTGGACCAACATGAGAAGTTAGCCATAAAAAAGCATTCCCTATCTAGAATTGTTCTGCATTTGCTTCTGCAAAAGTAACTGGGGATACTGCCCACCCTACTTTTTAGGTAGGATCCAAGGCCATAGAAGGGTATAAAAGAAAACAGTAAGCCAATGGTGAAGACAAAGACGGGCTTCTCTGCAACCCCCTCCAGTCTGCAGCTCAGCCTGAGCAGACAGGCCTCCTTGTTGTTACAAGGGGGTGGGTGGTTTTCTGTTTTACCAATGCACTGAGATAGCAGTTATGCTGGTCCAGATTTTAGGCTGGGGTGCAGTGCAATAGGGTTGGTGGTAGGAAGCCTTCAGTCCCACCTCTCTACCTTGAACAGGCCTCACCTTCTGCCCCACATGGGACTAAAGGGTAGGGATAAATGTCCACTTGAGTTTTCAGCTCCTTCTTCCTTTTTTGGCCCCTGGAAATTTCCCTTACTTTCCTATGAGTTCAGTTACACATTTAAAATGATGTCTATTATATTTTAATCAGCATTTCTGAGAGTTTTATAGCAGAAATACTTTTCAGATTACCTAGTCTATTGTATTTCCAGAAAAGACTGTGTTGCCTTTTAAGTATCTCCTAGACAAGTCTATTTCTTTCTCCCTGCAGTATTGCTAGTTCACACCATTACTGTGAGAACCCCCTACATGGTCCTCCCTCCCTCCACTATAGCTCCTTCTAGTCCACAGTCCTATCTATAGTCTTTGTCATCATTTTAAAATGCAGGTCTGTGGGGCACCTGGGGGGCTCAGTCAGTGAAGCGTCTGCCTTCGGCTCGGGTCGTGATCCCAGGGTCCTGGGATCGTGCCCCGCATTGGGCTCCCTGCTCATCGGGGAGCCTGCTTCTCCCTCTCCCTCTGCCTGCTGCCCCCCGCAACTTGTGCTCTCTCTCTGTCAAATAAATAAATAAAATCTTCAAAATAAAATGAAATAAAATAATACAATACAATACAATAAAACATGGGTCTGAGCTGGTCATTCTTCTAATTAAAACTCTCCTAAGGCTTCTCATGCCCTCAGGACAAAGTCCAAACTGTGGAGTGTGATCTACAGGCCTCCTGGATCTGCACAATTTACACCTGGAGCCACACTGCTCACCGCCTCACTACTCACTCCCACCCAACTGCTTCTGTTCCGTAAAACTGCCTTACACCCCTTCCCTTCTACTCCCTGATGCAGGTTGTTCCCCTTGCCTGGAACATCCTGCTCTGGGCCCCTCAGCTTGCCAACTAGTCCTTCATGTCTTCACTTACGTATCACTTCCTCCGGGACCTTTCTCAGACCGTCCCTTCCCCACCTCCACTATAAAATGGATTTCCATTGGGTCTGTCTGTGGCATCCTGCACTTACCCTGTCACAGTACTTGTATTCTCCATTAAAGTTGCCTGCCTACTTGTCTCTGTCTTTAGGATCTAAATTACAAAGTAAATTTCATTATCAGAAAATCTGTATTTTTTTAAATAAAGGACGTACATTTAATTCAAAGGCTTTTTTTTTTAATTAATTCAAGGTTTAACTGCACTTGGTCATAAGCATTTTACTAAAGCTCCTTGTTTTAAGTCAGTCTCAACTGGAGTGACCACAAACATGATTGGGGTGTAGGGAGCTAAATATGCTCCCTACTGCTTATTTTCATACAAAATCACTACAGAAATCCTGAGGTCTTTGAAGAAGCAGCCATTTTAAATGTGCCCACTGAAATATCTACCTGTAGAGACCAACTCCCACTTTTCTGTAATCAGTAATTTTATGAACACACTCTGTTTCTTATTTATAAAATTATCCTGGGACGCCTGGGTGGCTCAGTTGGTTAAGCGGCTGCCTTCGGCTCAGGTCATGATCCCAGGGTCCTGGGATGAAGCCCCACATCGGGCTCCTTGCTCAGCAGGGAGCCTGCTTCTCCCTCTGCCTGCCTCTCCCCCTGCTTGTGTTCTGTCTCTCTCTCTGACAAATAAATAAATAAAATCTTTAAAAAAAAAATTATCCATAAATATACATTTATTGGAAAGAAAAAATGTCAAGAGAACACTTTTAAAATGTGATACATTGATGCTCATAAATTATAAATGCAGAGTTGCTTTTACCTATGGGAATATGCTAATCAACAGCTTCTCAGACAAAGATGCAAAATTCTAAAACCAAGAAGGGTGGTAAGAAGGTAGGCTATCACCTTGGAAAGAAGAATTTGAGTCAAGTCTCTCTTACTTGTACTGCTGGTGATCCTTAGTGCTTCTTGTTTTTGCCATGAACCTTTCTGCTAACTTCTCTAGGTTCCGAGAATATTCCGTCTCAATTTCAGCTTTTTTCCGGAAGAAATCCTGCAGGTCCTGGAGAAGCTGAACTCTCATCTCTGTTTGCTGTTCCAGGCATTTTTGCTGTTCTACCAGCTGAGCTCGAATTTCTAAGGAAAGAAGAGAATCCATTTGACGATTTTGTGAAAGTTAGTGCTGGTATGTGCAAGATAAAGGTAATGAACCCTATTATACATTTAGCTCTGTATTGGACCTTTATGAGATTGCTAGGTCTAGACTGGTTCTTTACATAATCTGCTGACCTTTTAAAAGAATGAGACAAGTCCCAGGAAGGAATGTCAGAAATTAGAACAGAAACATGGGTTACATTTGCAATGCCACAAGCATGCATGGAGTCATGAGGGCAAAAAATGAAAGCCTTTAAGATAACAATTCATAACATGCGACATGTTTGGGGTGCTGCGTACATTGTAATTTTTTCAACAGCATTTTATCTCAACTATCCCTTTTGAGTTTGAATGGCAAAGATGCGAGCATCATTTCTTCCAGACTTCTGAACCACCGTGTATTTGCCAGTTGGCACAGACAGACACTGACATCTGGTAATTTGTATTTAGTGCATAAATTTCTAGTTTGTAAAACACGTAGCTTCTGGATTTATAGGGATGCCGTGCCTGAAAATAATTTTTCTCTATCCAAATAATCCATTCATCAATCGAGTCCTCAGATTCCACTTTATTACTCTATTCACAACATCAAAGGCTCTTCACCTGACCTTCACTTTTTACACATTGTTCAAACTAACAGCTCTATTGACACATGTAATCCTGAAAAGAATCCTTTGATGATTTTAATACATTAGGAAGGTGACGGTTAGTCTTTCACTGATTTAGGAAAAACACAAAAGCAAAGGCGTGCCATGCAAAACTATCTGTAAATGACTATAACAACGAAACCTGTGTGTTTTGGAAAATGGGACAGGTACAGCAGTAACTACTGACTTATTCTTGTCTGAGACCCAGGGCTAACCTCCAGACAAGAATACTCATACTGGAAAACTTTATTTCATCTTTCCCAGACTCACTGCGTATTCCCTTAAAGTGAGGGCTGAATCTAATTGAGTAGAGTTAATAGAAATCAATGTCCAGGGGCGCCTGGCTGGTTCAGTCAGTGGAGCATGCAACTCTTGATCTCAGGGTTGTGAGTTCGAACCCCATGTGAGTATAGAGATTACTTAAAAATAAAATCTTAAAAAAGAGAGAGAAATCAATGTCCAAATAACATTTAACATTTCCTCAATTCCTTTCTATTATTCTTCAACAGAGAAAGACCAAGCTCACAATATATATGCATACATTTGGCCATGTTTAATCAAGCTCATTAACAGCAGGGTGGTCAAGTTCTCAATGGGGAGTCAGGAAACTTGCTCAATTTAATAATGGATAGCAATAATCAAACACTATTCTAACCCTATTGAAGTAGGTAGGAGTATTAGCCTCATTTTACAAAGAAGGAACTGAGGTTTAAGGAGATTAAATACTTTATCCTGCCAAAAAAAGACATAGTAACTATGAAACGAGGCCCTCAATAAGGTCATGTTCCAGGCAACACTGCTTTGGGGAACCCTGGGAAAGGGTAGGAAACATTTCTCAAGTGTCCTTTCCTTGGTTTCTCCACCTCTAGATTGGGGGACCCTATTATTAATCTCATAGAAGTGTGGTGATCACCAGAGTGAAAACATTATTACAGGCTTTTAACCATGATGAACAGCATCTGGTTTTTAGTCAATCAAAGTAAGGGTTTTTCAATACAGTATTATAATCACTATGTCTGGCAAACTCTTTCCCCCACAAATACAGAACTATTTTTGTTTCATGGAGAAAAAAGAAATCAAGGGTGGGGGTATTTCTCATTCAGGAATCTCAGTAAGTCTTTTAAGATTTAGTAATTTTAGCACATCTTGCTGTGCTAAGAGAAAATAAATCAATCGTCTTAGGCTGTCAATTAGGATTTTTTTTTCTTTTAAGCTGCATTAGTGCCAAATAAGAAATAAAAGTGGCCGAGAGTACAGATCTCAAGAGATCTACACAAAAATTCTGTGGGCTTCTTTCTTCAGTCTCATTCTTAGATTTCCTCTTGCTTCCTTCAGTGTTTAAAATCAAGAGCTAGGGCGTTTTGAGAAGGAGGACTGTATCTAAACAGTTAAAAATCTCATTTTTTTTTGCAGGCAGTAACTGTTACTTCATATTACCTGTAATTTTCCCATCAAAACAGGACACTAGCAGCATTTTCAAGAAGGAAAATGTGAAGGGACAAAATCTAGGATATTGTTGTGAGAAAGTAAAACATGCTCCAAAAACTGAAGGAGAATTCGTTTGATTACCTCTTTAATTTAGACAAGTTGGGGACAGATGAGGAAAGATTCACAAAAAAAGAACACAAGGAAAAAAAATATCAAGATAAAATACTACCATAATACATGTCTTATTAGAAAGAGGAAACCTCTGGGTTCTTTATACCACACCAGAGCCACAAGGCAGGACAATGTCAGGGCAACTCACTTCACTGCAAATCCAGTAAGGCTTTATTAATATGACCTCACTCGATGTGATCTAACAGTAAATGGCACTGACAAGTTGAAAAGATTTTTAGTTTTTTTTTAATTTTTATTTTAAAGATTTTTATTTATTTGACCGAGAGAGACACAGCGAGAGAGGGAACACAAGCAGGGGGAGTGGGAGAGGGAGAAGCAGGCTTCCCGCTGAGCAGGAAGCCCGATGTGGGGCTCGATCCCAGGACCCCGGGATCATGACCCGATCCGAAGGCAGACGCTCAACGACTGAGCCCCCCAGGCGCCCCTTATTTATTTATTTTTAAAAGATTTTATTTATTTGAGAGAGAGAGTGAACGAGAGAGCACATGCAGGGTGGGGGGGGGAGGCAGAGGGAGAAGGAAAAGCAGGCTTCCCGCCGAGCAGGGAGCCCGATGCGGGGCT